GTTGGGTATAATTATTACCAACACTTTATATTTGAAATTAAAGTGGTTAACAATTTTGTCTAAGATCTTACACTCTTAAGAGGAAGAGCTGCATCTTAGATCTAATTGTGATTGACATCAAAGTTCATGCTCTTAATCACTGATACTCTGGTACTGTCTGATGCAAAATAAATCACTTATAGGAATAAAAATAAATCGTGTAATTTATATTAGGAATATTTTTTAAACCTCAAAATTTTCTGAGTAGATAAGGAACCAGACAGAGATTAATCAAAACAATTTGATCTTTTGTAAACAAATATGTATGAACTGTCTAAATCTCTGGCAATAGAACAAATTCATCTTTTATTTATTTCTTAAGATAAATATTTTTTACTATTAGTTCATATTTGCATATACAACATTGCTGGCCCTGTTCTATGATTGTTTTTAGATAAAAGATGACTTGTCCTTTGCACTGAGGTTATTTAAGTCTTGTGGTTATTAGAATATCACAGGAAGTAGCCTCAGTCTCTGAGTCTCGGATAATTTTGCTATAAGGCAGATCAACTGTTATCTATTTTAAACCAATATATAATGCACTAATCCCAAGTGTACAGTGTGTAATTGCAGTAGGTGTAATGGTTGATTTCAGAGCAGGGGTGGGAAAGACACAAGATGAGCCTGGCATATATTTTCACACAGGGAAGTATGCAAATGCTAAAAAAAAATGATGTGACACAAGCAAGAGTCAGAATGAAGTTACCCCACTGGCCAAATCAGGACAGTGTGAGCATCAAAATAATTAAAATAGTAATGAGTCATAACAATTTTTAAAAGTAAGGAATGGGATGGGAAAATAGACAAAAAAACTGTACTTGAAAAATAACTAAATAAAATTTAAAAAATAAAAAAATAAAAAAAAAGAACTAATTAAAAAAAAAAAAAGTAAGGAATCCATAAATCTATGGCATAAGAAGTAGATGAATAACCAAATTAATCACAAATAAAGGAAAATGAGGCTCTTGTTTACAGTAGAAAGCCAAGTGCTAATGGGTGAAAGTTACAAGATTGCTTCAGCTAGAAAACAAGCAATAATTTTTTGGAATTATTAAGGTAAAGATTGGTTCACAAAAGAATCACTGATAATACTAAATCTAAGAGTAAGTTTGACAAATAGCAGATATTTGTATTTATGGCCTTAAAGTCCTCCCCTACGGCTTATTGGTAACATGGGGAGAGAGAAAAAAGTAACTGCACAGAAATCAGACAACATCTTGATTGGGTAATAGAAATTAACATCACAAATGAGGAACAGATGGATACCGTGTGCCTCTGGCTATCATTCCTTGAGAAGGTTACATCTTCATTTATTTATTTCCAGATGGGCATAACTAGGATCTAATGAAGAAACACGAGTCAAACTCAAAATGAGAGATACTCTATTTTAAACAAGGGGTACATGCATTGTCGAAAATGTCAATGTTCAGTAATGACAAAAAACGACTAAAGAATTATTACCCAGACTAAATAAGACTAAAGTGATATGATGACTAAATAAAATATTGGACTCTGTGCTAGAGGAAAAACAATTTTATAAAGGACATTATTCAATCAGTTGACAGAACTGGAAAATGAATAGTAGTTCAATAAAAGTATAATAACAATGATAGATGTATGAAAGTTGAAAACTGCATTATGGTTTTGTTGGAGAATGTCCTAATTCTTCAGAAATGCATACTGAAATAACTAGGGAGAAAAGAGTATGAAATATACAGGTTGCTCCAAATGATTCAATGAATATACAAACACACACACACACACACACACACATACACATATGTATTTTTCTATATACTCTCTGCACAGAAAATGGTGAAGCAAAAGGAAAAAATGATCCAAATGGAATTGAATAACAAATATAGCGTGTTCTTGAAGTGATTATTTCAATAACTTTTAAATATAAATTTTAAATTAATTCCTACATATAGAAGAAAAAAAGAAATTGTTGGTGCAAGTAAACTCCAAGGAAGCTCACATATCCTGAAACTTCCTAGGAGAGATGCTCTTAGGAAAAAACACACTGAGTTGTTTAAACTAAAAAGTGAAATAGCAACTCCAGCTGGCTCAGGTGATACCTGCGATGTGGCTGAACCACCGTCCAAGCTCCATGGGTTTCAGAGAGAAGCTCTGTGAAGCTATTATTCTGTGACCACACATTACTTACTGATTTTTAAAACGAGAATAGACCATAAGTTAAGTTGGCAAAAACTACCACAGATGTTGGTAAAAAAAGACAAACAAATCACACATGTACAAAACCTAGCCATTGTTTCTCAGGTTGACAGAGAGTACAGTTGATTCTAGAACAGCAAGGAATTGAAATGTACAAGTCCACTTACATGTAGATTTTTTCAATAAGTACCTGTGTTAATTTTGATTTGCAGATTAGAGCCCACTGATTCAAGAGAGCCCACTGTATGTACTGAGCTAGGCCATTTTATATAGGGAAGTTGAGTACATATTTCAGTGCCTGTCAGGGGGGTCCTGGAACCAATAGCCCTTAGGTACCAAACAACAAGTCAGATTTTGAGGGAGTCAAAATTTATAAGTGGGTTTTAGAATGTGCTGGGTCAACAGCTCTAACCCCTGCATTATTTATTTTTTTGATTTTAAAAAATTTATTTTTAGAAGGGAAGGGAAAGAGAGAGGGAGAGAAATATCAATGTATGGTTGCTTCTCATGTGTTCCCTGCTGGGAACTGGCCCTTGCTGGGAACTGGCCTGCAACCCAGGCATGTTCCCTGACTGGGAATCGAACAGTGATCCTTTGGTTCCCAGGCCCATGCCCAATCCACTGAGCTACACCAGCCAGGGTAACCCCTGCATTATTAAAGGGTTAATGATATATCTGTATCTATTTTCAACACTAAACACTTTATATGGTGGCTGCTGCTTTGAGTCACATTTCTTTTGTGACATAGCAAAAGAAAAGAGGGGAACATATAAAATATTGACATTTCTTAGGTAAAATTAAACATATCAGTGAATTCGACAATTTTGAATTCAAGTATAAATATATAAGTTGACAAAAGCTAAGAGAATTATCAGATGTTACTTAAACCAGAAACGGGACAGCGCTGTGCATTTGAATACAGATCATTAACAAATTATAATTTGAAATTATTAGATGCATTTATAAAAATATAAGCATGTCTAACTATTCATTGGATAATAACTAATATTTATGCTAATTTTACTAATAATTTTCTCTGTATGCAAGGATGAGGAAGACAAATCTATGCACAGTTCAACTCATAAACCCAATCTGTCTTCTTTCAGCTTCATAATGTTATCCATTATCATTATTCTAATAACTTCACTAACCAACATTCACGCTATTTAATTAAACTAAGAATGCATCCAAGTACTTTAAAAATATGCATAACAACAAGCACTGAAAAGCAGGAGAGTACAATCCAACATATTAATCTTAAATTATACAAAGATGTAAACTATGGGTTTTGTTCTTACAGAAAATATATTACCATACCAGATTTAAATCCCTGGAAAGATGGCTAAGAATCAGTCATACATTTGCATAGCACCTTACACTTTTTAAAGCACATTTATGCCTATTATCCACTTTGTGTCTTACAATAGCCAGGGGTTATTATCATTTGATTTTTGGAAAGTGGGACGCTAACTCAGCGTAACTGAGGGTAAGAGATTTGCATTAGAGCTGGCTGAACAGATGAATAGGGACGTTGAAGTAGGAGCACACATATCCTAACTGTTAGTCCTGGGTTTGTCTCCCATCCCACAGAGCCTGCCACTACTTTAGTGCTCACATACCAGCTTCTATGATTCTGTAGCCACTCTAGAGAGTGAAGTGTTGGCAGTCAGGAGTACACTTGTGTTTCGGAAATATTATAGAGGCCATAATGCATATTATATAAGTGTATACTGCTATTACATTGATTTTTTTCTCACATTAATAGCAATACTAAGCATATGATGTGAGTAAGTCTCATTAGATCTACTGCATAACTGAGGAAACTGAAAGACACTTAAGGATAAGTGATATTAAAGAAAGCATTAGCAGAACAAATAGATGTTCTAGTTGTACTCTGGCTACGGATACATAAAATGTGCCTTTCTGATTTCTTTAAAAGCATTTTCATCACAACAGCCTTGTTGAAGTGATTTCCACTAAAAATATAAAACAAATAGAACCAATTTTCATTACCTGAAACATTGTAGCAACCTGTTCATTAAAAGCACCACCTTCACTTTCATGGTACATTCAAAGCTATGTAGTTGAAATACTAAAATTTTACACAAGTTGATTCTGTTCAACTTCTTGCTGTGAAAACAAGTGTTTTGATGATGATTATCCTCAACTTCCCAAAGCAGACAACCACTCCCAGGTAGGAGGCTGTGCACTGAAATCTGAACACATATTATGTCCCCTCATTCCACGTAGTTATGTGATCTTGTTCAAGTCACTTACACTCTTGGGTTTTTAGACCCCTCATCAGTTAAAATTTAATTCTAACTACTATATCCTTGATTCTTACCTGCACTTTCAAATTAGACACTGCAACCTCATAATTTGTATAATGTGATTCTCTGCTGATTACCTCAGCAGCTCATGCTGGTCTATTAATGTGTGAATGCCAACAGAATAAAAGTCTTACACCATTGAAATGAAAATATTTCTCTTGTAATATTTCCATTTGGGCCTTTTCTCTATTGATTTGTGATTGTCCAGTATACTAAAATGAAAATAACTGGATTAACAATCAAGAGTCATAGATTCTATTCTGGGCTCTGCCTGATAATGTTCACTTAACTTTGGTGAACTACACGTTTTTAGGTATGAAGAAGAGATATAAAAATATGCATCCTGATGTCCTCATGAGTAAGATGTAAAGGGAATAAGTTGACTCAAGCTTGGAACAAGTGAGGTTACAGGAGAATACTGCACAGCACAAACAGCACTGACATGTTCTGCTTTACCTGATGGGGAGATGTGCCGCCAAGAAATGGAAGGCTCTGGTTTCCCAGTGGCCAAACAAATAAGGGTGACATTGGTTCCTTCATTGATGGTCATATCACTTGAGATGTCATATATCTTCGGAGGAACTGAAATGGTAAAACATGCAATGGTCAGAAAGAATATATAATCATCTGTTGGTCTATCTATGGTAACTCCATGATAACATGCAGCAAAGCTGTGGTGGTGAAATGTACATATGACCTATGACCATTACCCCCAAAATAGATTCTCCGCATCCTCAGGACTCTCCTAGAGAGGTTTTTTGTTGTTGTTATTGTTATTTGTTGGTTAGTCTTATTTTCTCTAATTTTTAGATATATAATATTTTAAAGTAAATGGAGTCTTTAATGACAAAAATGTTTAAACATTGCCTAAATTGAAATTTGATTGTAAATATTTTGCATTAAGTAAGCTAGAATATAGTCATTCTGTCTATTTTATTCATGTATCTTCACTATATGATGGCTTTCTTGATGAGAAGATTAAACAAAATGAAAATCTGGAAGAAACTTAAAAGAGCAGAACAGTTATGCCTACAGGCTGATTTAAGAGCTGAGTGAGAGGAAAATGTGTACAGGATTGGAAGGTAAGATCTCAGGGTCCTGAGGGCATTTTGGGCCTCAGTTTTCTATCTGCCAAATAGTAGAGCTGGAGATTCTCAGCATTTATGTTCAAAGCAGCACTATTCCCAAGAACTCGGAGACATGTGTTCAACAAAAGTTGTCTTGTCAGTAATGGCTAGAAATCACTGGTTGAAACCAACTCACTTGGAGAGGTTCTTTTTCTTAGAACCTCTGTTATGCCCAATGCACAGCTCAAGGAATAAAGGGGAAAATGTTATGATACATTCTTTATTTTTCCTTGAATTATTAGACTATGGAAGCTTTACCCCAGAACACTTGGTGGAATTACCGATCATGGAATACACTTTAGAAATGTTGAAAAAGAAAATCTCTGAATGAATGCCTCAGATGAAAATGTCTATTATTTTCTCAAATACCAAATCATCTCACTTAAATGTCAAACACCATGGATATGAATCTGGGTCCTCTACTGGCTGGTGTGTTATCTAGGGCAAGTTATTTAACATGTCTCAGTCTCAGTGTATCCATCTGTTTCCATCTGGGAGCTGGAGATAATAGTACAAACTTCACATAGCTGCTGTGAGAATCGAGCAAGTCAGGACATGTTACAGGACTTAGAACAGAACCTGGCATTGGTGTTAGCTCTTATTATTAGATACCTTAGAAGACATACATTGCATTGCGTTACTTTCAGTACTGTCTTTCTCCCATGCCTTGAAATGGCTCTCAGTAGCACTTCATCACTTTGAGAGTGTATAACTGCCATAAATTTTGGTTTTCTATATAAAAATTGTAGTATGCAAAAGTTCCTAGTTAAAGCTAAACAGATAGCAACTAGATACCTTGATAATTATAAGAAAAATAGAATTTGTTAATTATTAGATTCTTAGTTTCTTTATGCAAGAGATTTCACAGTTATTTAAAAAAACACAGTAACTAAAATCTGTCATAAGGATAAATTAAATCATCTATACTTTGAATATTATCTTTGATTGTTTTCAATGAAACTATAACCCTACTACAAGAAAATCTAGAATAATGATTTCAAATATAAAGAATTTCAGTATATGTAATGGTTGCTATGATTGAATAAAAGGCTTCTTCCAAAATGATATACAATTGTAATGTTTCTAAATGACATTTTAATTGGCATTTAAAACATATTATCATTAAACTCTTCAGTGAGCTCTTCTTGGGAAAATAATAAAAAACAAAAATCATTCCAGAAGATATTCTTTTTAGCTTAACTGAAACAGAACAAAAATAGAGACATTAAAATACCATACTAAGAAAGTAAGGAAATATGTGAATGACTTACTACTGAGAACATGAGAGTTAATAAAAATAAATTTATAATAGTAAACAGGAATATCATTGACTATGTGGATGCAGGTATAGATTTGACATAATAAACTCTGAAATATAAGATATGTGTCACACATACACAAACACATAGACATGCAAACAGTGTGCATATAAACCAATGCAGACTCTTCAGAAAATAGAATTAAAAAGTTAGAGATCACTTTTTCCTTTATATAGAATATAATACACAGAGATCAGCAGAGCTTGGCTAGTTTCTTTGTATATTTTAAAAATACAAGTGATTATTTAAAAGTAGTGATGAAGTATCATAAGACCATGCATTCTAGCCTTTTAATTACATTATTTTCTCAATTCTATCTGATTTCAAATAGTTTAGTTTCATCTTATATATACATATAAGTTAAATATGTTTCACTTTATATTACACATTTACTTATATTTTAAGCAGTAAACATAGTGTGATAAACTAACATTAAGCACAATATTTGACTTCAAAAAAACCAATATAGTTCCTTAGTCATAAACTTAGGAACTAGGGAAAATTGCGTGGTGGGGAAAGAGTGTTGAATTCCAGGTGTGACATGTCATCTCAGTGATTGCAATCACCTCTCGGGGCATCATAATTGAGGATATGACACAGGGAAGGAACATGTGGAAAGAGGAGGCTAGTAAAGGAAAATCCCTGTGGCAAGCCTCTTCTCTGCAGAATGCGTCACCTGTTGATAGCAGATACCGTGTGTAAGGAGGCAGGCGCAGGCAATGAAAGCCTTTACGTGCCCTGTAGTTTGTGAAGGTAAAAACAGATGTTGCTTCACTGAATAGTCAAAGCCATTGCATCCTCAGTTTAAGGCTTCTATAGAGTATGATGAAAGGCTAATTCTAGACACACAAGAAATGTAAAAATTTCAAAGTATAATCCTTGTCCTGAAAGAACTTAAAATTAAAAGGAGGCAGAAGGGTATATAACTAAGATAAAATAAATATTTTCCACATTTTACTTTACCATTTTACATGAGTAACACGTATCTACTAGGTATGCCTTCTGGGTTCAAATGGACAGAGATTGGTTTCTTCTTTTTATTATTTTTTAATGTGAAGCATGTGGGACATTTTATGCACAAAGCTATTCAATGTGGTGTTTATAATGGAGAAAAACTAATGATAACCTCGATATGGAACAATGTAAATGGAGGTATTTGTCAGGTCTACCTCCATGGTAGTGGGGAAGGGTTTGGGACGATTCCAGGGAGCATCAGGCTAAAGGAAACTCGACATGCTTCTCCGCTGGGCAGCTGAAGCAGGGGGGAATAGTGGTATCTTAGGCTTCTTAAGACCATCCAGTTCTGGTAGCTCTCCCTGGGTTACCATTGGTGTGTAAATGAGGCACACACACAGGTGGGAAGGACTCTGTTGGGCTTTGTGAATGACAAAGCAGTGTGTCTTATGGCATGTCCAATATGCTGCACTCTAGCATACAAAAAAAATGAGGAGAGTTAAAATAACTTACTGTTCTAGATGCATGTTCCTTTTCTATCTACTTTAATCCAAACTTTATCAAAGCTCTTTTTAAAGAAATTTACCTTAAGTGATGTCTTTAAAAATGAGCAAATGTGTTCAATCAATCTCTAAATTATCACTAAATATCTACGAATATTTTAACTCACTAAATATCTATGAATTTTAATAAGTGTTTTGGATTTCTGTGTACATTATTTATTTGTGACAAGAGCAGAGTAATAAAGACATACATTATTCAACTAAATGTAAAATTGTTTCATTGGCAGAAAATAATTATTATAACATTATCATGACACCAAAAACAAAAATAGCAAAAGACAGAAGTTCTAGATTTCATACTAAATCACAGAATAATCTCTCTCCTAATTGGGAGTCTAATTGAGGATATACAAGACTTTACAAATGAGTTTAAAATTATTTGTTGTATATCACCAGTTAAGGAGATTATAAAATACCAGCAGCTCTCCACAATATAGATTAAAAGTAGATTTAAAGGTTGTGTTAGGATTACATGTTTTGTAAAATTCCCCGATACTTTAAAAGAAATCACTCTTGATCTCTCAAATTAATAACCTGCTTGACTTTAATTATTCAAGGATCTCAAATTCAACTGCTACCTGGTATGTCCTGTCCTCACCTCCTGTTCAATTGATTTAATGATGAGAGAATGATATGTATTTAAATGCATCTATATATTTAAATTCTCTAAAGGTAATTTAAACCTTTTATTGTCTCAGTCTCTCCAAAAATTATGTGGCCTGACCTGTCCCAACTGCCTCCCCCGATCTGAGTCATCTATGACAGTGTTCTCCAGCAGGGGTAAGGCGATATCAGCAAGGAGAATCTTAGAATACATATGAAAACCAAATTCTAATGACTCCCACTCAGCCAATCATTTCATGTTAGTCCTTACTATTTACAGTATAATGGGTAATTTAGTTTGTGAGAGGCGGCATAGCTTTATTATTATTATTATTATTATTATTATTATTAATGTGTTCTTATTTTCTGTGCTATATAAATAAATTTTTGTTTGTTCAATGAGCAGCTTTCACTGATTGAAATAAAATTTCTTCCAAGAATTGATCTTGTAGTCTGGAATATAACCATTAAAAAATCAAGACAAGGGTGAATAATCTATACATCACAGGAATCATATAAACATAGTTTTATTTTACTAAAAGTCTGCTCAGATGATTTTCAGAAATAATAAATAAAATAAAGTTTACATCTATACTAAATGTCAGTAGATGCAAGGCTGGGTCACACATGATATGGAGAACCATTAGAGGATGTATTTGATGGTTATTTGAACTGTAAATTCAAGACATGGACTATTTGGATCTGTACATTTACATTGGCTCACTGGAATCAATGAAATGCCCCATTGAGTTCTTAAGTTGTAATAGTCCATGAAACACCACAGATACCAATCTGTTTGGAGGGATTTCAGGCTGCCAGGGCTAAAAGCTGGATGGAGTATTTATTCCAAACTATGTACCACTTATTTAGTTAGACACTCACATAGTATAAAAGAAACCAGTAAATCAGTTCAGCATTTATTGTAACCACAACATTGCTTAGACGGGATGTAAAATTAGTGTTTTAGAGTGCCCCAAGTGTGCTCCCACTCATTCTCTGAAGGTATAGGTGCATTA